AACCCTGCCTGACATGGTTAAAGCTGACAGCGTGTGCTATCTATTGGCAGCTGGGTTGTGGAACCAGGGACCAGCACTTTGGTTTAGTAGAAACTAGAGGTGTCAGAAGAATTCGCAAGAGATTCAGATGAGTTTAGATTTCTCTGAATCCAGCTCATTGATTCTGCAGTGGGACACTGTTCCCAAACTCATATGGATTCCACAAACTTGCAGGACATTTTTTTAACTTTCTAGAATTTTAAACAAATTTAGTCATAGAAACATAAGAAAAACCCTGTTCTCCAAAAATGTATATCACTTCCAAAGATTAAAGTGGGAAAATGCTATTTTAGGGAGATTTGTGCTATTTTAGAAGTGCTAATAGGCCCAAGTGCACATTAATACAACTGCATTCGAACGTAAGTTTAAAAAATTGAAAAAAAAATCTGATCCGATCAGTGAGTGGATGACAGAACAAAAGGTGATGGACAAAATGCGCAGTGCAGACATAGTTAACCAAATCCTCAAAACGCCAGCATAGGCACTGCCACCACCTTCCTTTTCCTACAGAGCTTAGCTGCAGTCCTCTCAGTACCTAGCAGGGAAACTGAATTTCCTCAGCAGCAAACTACTGCTCCCTTTTACAATGTGAGATTTTGTGGTGGTTTGGCCCTGAATGGGCAACTAACCACCACTAGCTTTACAACTACTCTGCTTCTGGTTAGGATGAAAATTGCTAAAAGGGGTTTGTTAATACAGATCAGCACAGCTGCCTGAATTTTTGGCAACTCCTTGGTGCTGCGGTTATGCAGGCAATTACAATGAGTGCCTGCATTTCAAAATGTTAGACTGCATGCCTGATTATGGGGCAACTAAGCACTGGAGAAGCACTGCATCCCACGGCAGGGCATGCTGGTCTCTGGAAGGATGTGTAAAAGGAAAGCATATTGTCCATTGGAATTAAAAGCAAAATACAGAAGCACGTACTTACATCACAGCCCTAAACACAATTGAGACACATGGCATGAACCTATCAGGAGAAGTCTATAGAACGTTCTTTTTGTAAATTTGATTTGTAAAGCCTGGGAATCCTGTAAATGTGTGTACAGTTGGCATTTTGAAACCATGTAAATACTGGATGGGGTATTTTTCTAATTTTGTAATGTTTCAATTTTGTGCCTTTTTGTAACTTTTGTAGTATGTTTTTATTTAAATAAAAAATTTCAACCTAAAAAAAAAAATTCAACCTAAACACAATTTATCGCAATTCAGCCAGGGCAATTTGCATCAGCTACTGGGGTGTGTAGAGTTCCACTGGTAAACGCCCTCCACAGGGTTCCCACTGCCTGAGTGAGCAAATGGCTGGTATTGTCAGCTTCAGTAGTTAGAATCTTGATGGTTGCCGAAGACTAACCCCAAGCCCCTTAGCAAGCAATCACTAGGTAGGCACATGCGGATACAGGCACAGTCCACCACTCCGTGTGCACAGCTCCAGGTTTTAGCCATTCATGCATGGCAAATCTCAATGTTAGGCCAGTATTAACTTTCAGCATAATGCCTTTTGGTGCCAGTGAGGTAGATTGCAATGCTTAGCATGTTTGTATTTGGGAAGAAGTTTGTTTCATTAAAACAAGCTGCAACATCTGTGCAGGCTTTTCGCACAGGGAGCCTTATGAATTGAAGAGTAAGATGTGCCTGAGCCAGGTAAGGCATGAGCCAGTCAGGAAAGGCTCTTGTGAAGCTCCTTCTGGTTTCCGTGATGTCTGCACAGGAGAATCATGCCTTGGGGCTCAGATCGCTCACTCAGGGCACTTGACAGGGCCCAAACTGCAGTGCTGGAGGCGCCACCCTCAAGTTACCTTCTTGTAGGGTTGCCTCGGCATCCAGGTGGTTGACTGGCCTCGCCCTCTGGTGGCAAACCCTTGGAAATGGTGGGAAAAGCCCCTGACACCTTCTGTGCTGTCTCTGGGACCAGCAACGTGGGAATTCCATCTCAGTTCAGAAATAAAGTTGCTGAGATCATACTGCCCAGCTATAAATTGATGGTGTGACCACAATTACAGTACTGTAAACCGTTCTGGTTACTGATCCTGGTCCTGGTCTCTCCTAAAGAGGATAGTAGCAAAGAGCAACCAAAGGTACAGCGAAGGGCAGCCAAAATCATGAAGCGGCTGCAGCAACCAGGCACCACTGTGTCAGTACAGAGCCGTGACAGGAGGGGCCGCAGACCATATGTGCCTCGCCTTTGGGCATGAAGCGTTCTGCACCCCACTGCCCACCTTGGAAGGGCTCAGGTGTAAGAGGGCAATGGGGATGCCACTGTACAAAATGCCACGATCGAGTTATGCTTTGGGGCTGAATGGGAAACATTGCTGGGTGACTAAAGGTCCCCAGTTCTTTTCTGTTCAAGTTGACTTGTTGCAATATAGTTAATTAGTGAGGGCTTAGGGAAGGCTTACCATGAATCTAATTACAGTGCTGAAAAGCTTTAATAAGGTTCTTATTCTGAGACAACGTGATGCTATTTACATATTTTACCATGGCATGGACCATGGATAGCTCACAACTCACTGTGCAATCCTGCAGAAAAATACACAGTATCTCCATGTAGCACTGAAGTAATAGTGACATGATTCACTGTGGTAATTAAATTTGTTAGCTTTGACAGTGGGGGGAAAAGTCTCTTACGTTGTACCCCAAAAAGGGGGATGAATTATTCTGATCAGTGGGCAATTAGAAATCACCTCACATTTTCTACATAAACCAAACAATATAAACCCAATTCCAGGTTATCTGTTGCTAGGACTGAGCTGTAGACTGCTGTCAGAAGAGAGGCAGGAGCCATGAACCACAAGCCAGGAGCTGAGCTGATGCCAGGGCTCAGAAAGCAAGCCAGGAGTGAGAGCCAAAGGATGCCAGAAACAATCCCCAGCCAAGAAGACTCTGATGCTCAGGCATGGCTCCAGCCCAAACAGGAAGCCTTGACCATTCTTCCTGCTGAGGTGGACCCAAGGGCCAGTCTCAATGCTTGGGGAAATCCACAGCCTGACTAGAAGCTTGGAGCTGCAGTTCTGATACTCATCACATGCAGGAGAAGGACCCAGAACCTGCATTCCTTGTTGTGCCAGCCTCTGGCATCTGTTTATGGTCCCTTTTTACAAGGCAATAAGCAGCCTAGGTGTTTCGATGCAATGCACAGAGGATTCTAGAGAATGGACTTTGCAGCAGGAATGAACATATAAGTTTAAGACACTGGAAATTTCCACATAGTTCTTCTATTTTTCCTTCAGAGCAGCCATGTTAGTTTGTATGAAGCCAAGAATAAGTTTTTAGGTCAAACATTTTGAATCATTTTAAATAATAAATGTTTTATTGTACTTTCAAGAGCAATGTGCACTTCTTTAGCTTACTTCTTCAGATGCATGAAATGGTCTGCTGTATAAAATGGTGTGTAAACACACACACACACACACACACACACACAACATACACAATGTTGGATAACCCAAGTTAACAAGCCATAAAGATACCAGAAATTATTGCCAAATAACCATAATATAGGATTTCTTTCTTTCTCATTTTTTCCATTATAATCTTTCTCACTGAATTGGTAAAATAATAATCAAAGGAAGCTGGAGGAAGAAATTGCCTGAGCAATTCTAAATGAAAGAATTGGCATGGATGTACTTTTCTTAGTGGAGGTTAATCATACTGCCAATTCGTTTGCTCTTACTGAGCAGGTCCATAACAACAAGGACCATTTTAAATCAGGCATGGAAAACCTATGCTTCTAGAGAACCTGAAAAAGGATCCCCAAACTAACCACATACCAAATAATTGTGAGCCCAAGACAATACATACACATATTCAGTTTGATTTTTCAACAGTCTGATTTAGAGTACCATCCTGTGACTGCTAGACATACTTGGGATGGCCATAGAATTCAGAGGCCCAGCTGCAACCTCAGAAACTTGCTCCAAGCAACCTTCGCCTCCTTCCAGCCTCCACAGGATGTTTGCAGTCTTCTGAGTTTGGAGCTTTACAGGCAGCCACACTGGGTTGTGCTGCCTATGCTCTGTGTATGTGTGTGTGTACACAAATGCACATGTACACACATACATATATATGTATATATGAGCGTGTGAAAATGCCTTTAGCTTATTTACCTGATTCAGAGATGGAATGTTTCATCAACTGATTAATTGTGGTATATAATATATATTGTACTATGCATTGTATTGCTCTTATTATATGGAAGAAAGAAGAAAGTTCAGGATGATTGTTTGCCCTAGCAGAACAACAAACATATAAAAAAGTGAATCCAAAGGATTAATTACTTTAATGGGAAATGCCTGTTGTTAATAGATACTCAGGATGCTTCCAGATGAGGCTTCCATCTTGCAATCATTATCTCATTCACAGATTTCTACAGGGGGTGCAGGCGCCGTCGTCTTCATCTATTAGCCCTCCCATGTTTCCTCCCTTTCCACACACAGACAAAACCATTAAGGAAAAAAGATGGCAGAGCTGCATGATATCTTTTGATAGACAGTGCTAGGAGATTTCCATCTGAAATCACACTAACTCTCTGTTGAAGCATTAATGAGAATGGTTAAATGTTACATTTTCCCCTCAGATGGACTCAATTTCCCATCAATGCTGTATTGGTTAATGAGAAAAACATAGCATCTGGCTATATTTTTGCCACAGATAATTTTTGATGCTGGGCCTTTCTTGTCAGTTCCACATATGTCAAATTCCAGTATCACCAGCTAATTTAAATACTCAGACCAATCTATTTAGAATTCAAGAATGCTCTGTAAGCTTTTGCACCTTAAATTAAGCAGAAAGATCAAGACCCATCTAAGCCCTCCTTTGTAGTAGACTGCACTCTGAAAACACAATTGTCCATAGAAAATATATACACGCGCATATACACATAGCGCTTTCCAATGGCTCATTAACAGCACCAAAATAGATATGTTTCAAAAACAAATAAATGTGCATCAGGATCCCATTGGACAAATCACACAACTCAGCAGCCAAGTGGTTAAACATTTATGATTTGATTTTATCTCAGCCTGGAATGTGGTTGGAGTGTCCCACTTCTAACAACTGTTTGCTAAGTTAAGGCTTTAATGTTTACACAGTGCTGAATGAAGCAGCCTGGTCACCAGATGTGAATGCTTCCCCAGACTGGAGTTTTCTATCAGATCACCGTCCTAGTGGTCCCTGCTCCAATCTTCTTCCTCAGGACGTCCACCAGTCTTTGCAACCTGGCATGGGGGTGGGGGGAGGAGAAAGGAAGAAAAGGAAACTAATATTAGGACTGTCCCGACTGAAAAGAGACAGTGTTTGCCTTGGACCAATACATCCCAGGGGTGGTCATGCTAGGAAACAAAGCATGACTGTAAAAGAGAGGCTCCCAAGGCAGAAGGCAGACCATTTGAGAGAAACTTTTAACCTAAACCCAGCCCCATCACAATCAGAAGAGTGTGTTAATTCATCTCCCACTTCGTAGTAAATACAGTATCTGAGGGCCTCGTGTCTCCTAAGTTTGCACAGTACTCTGACAGTTTGTGTGTAGAGCTTCTTACAGAGATGCCATTACACAAGCAGTGCATTCAGTCCATGGTGTGTGTGTGTGTGTGTGTGTGTGTGTGGCCCTGCGGTGGTGTCTGCTGCTCTTGCATGTTTAGCAATGAACCTTTGTCATTTAAAATATTTCCACCCCTTTTTGTACTTCAGCCCACAAATGTGCTTTACTTGTATGCATTTGGTATGTTTATGCTTCTCCACATGTATCAATCTAAAATATGCTTTGCAAAATTCAGGGTATTACTAGGTTTGGGTTAATGGGGCAGACGAAAGACCTTTGTTACAGAGTTATGCCATCTCTCCCTTCTTTCTCCTTTCCGATGAGACTGAGGACTTCCCACTTTTATGGTATTAATGCCTGACCTGTCCATAAGTTTTTGGCACACCTAGGGTGCTCTAGAAAATAAGCAAGCTAGTAGTTTCCTCCATTACCTCCCTACTCCTTGAACACTTCAACCTGAAGAACATTACTTCTCACTTTTTTGGGAAAATGTGGAGATTTTGGTCCTAATCTTTCAAGGGAGAATGCATTATTCCTAGGAATGCACAGAGTTAACTTTGGGCACTTAAGAGCTGCCATGTATGCTTCTGTTGATACAACGGCACACCAATATGGTCTTGGGGAAGGCTGATCTAATCTTTAGATCAGCCTTCCCCAATCTGGTGCCCTCCAGATGTTTCAGAGATGTGTTAACTTCATCAGCTTCTGCACAGTCAGGAGTCAGGAATGGCTGGGCATGGTCATCTCAAACATCTGGAGAACACCAAGCTGGAAAAGCTACTTTTGGTGAACTGTCCTTCCATCATGCCTGCAAAAATTCATCACATAGCTGGAGGGCATCCATCACACTAGCATGAACATGGGGAGCTTCTCTATCCGTTGTCCTATATAAATCTATGCAAGTAGTCCTGCACAGCCTCTAGGAGAGCTCTTTCTGTGCAGTCATATCTGAAATCTTTTTAACCAGATCTTTTCCCTAGATAAGATAGGAAAACAAAACAACATTAAACAATATAAAACAGTAGCAGGGGAGCATCATCGCAATATATTTGTTCTTCAACAAGCATGGCTTTGCATTCTAACTAAAGTTGTAAAATTCTTATGTAGGTTCATTACTTGAACACCTTTTGCCGGCATTCTAATAACACTACATACTAGACAATTCCGTATTCAATTCAAGCTTCTCTGAAAGTTCCCTCATATACAAACACATGCCATGAGAATGTTTAAAACAGGGGTAGGCGACTTGCTGCCTTTGGCTTAATTTCAAAAGCCCTTTGCAAGCAATCAGATCTCTGACAAGAGCAATCTGTTCCCTTCCCTGGCAGCGGACTGAATAGAGAGGGAGATAGGCAGACAAAGGAAGGCCGGGGAGAAGGGATCGTCCACCCACTTTCAGCAGTGCTCCTGGCCACCTTAGTGTTTGCTTCCCAATAGATTATCCTTGACAGAAAGAGGCCCATGAAAGAAAAAAGAGTCTGTACCTCTGGTATATACTGAGGGGAGGGGGCAAATCTGTTGCCATGTACAAGGTATGAAGCAGCATACAAATTTAATAAAAATAAGTAAACATACAGCCCCCTTTATCATCCAGAATTCAGTAAAGTTAGAAACAACTCTGTGTGTGTGTATGTATATATTAAAGTAAATCATGTTCCTTCAAATGAGCATGTTGAAAAGTTTTCAGGACAACCATGTTTTTTTCCTAATGGATGAGGCAGATTCCTCTTGAAACACTATAAAGATACCTGCTTCTGGCTTTGGTGATGCAAGCTGAAGCAACTGATAATGGTCACAGTGAACAAAAGTGACCCAAACCCTCCCATTTTCCAGAGTCTCGCTAAACTGCAGTTTTTATTGCACTATTCAGAAAACCTTATCCCTGAAACTTGATTACGAAGGCAAGAAGTCTTTTTAGCATGAAACAGGAAATGGTGCCAGAGTTTTATTCCACTCCCCCCTCCCAGCATTAATACATTAATTCTGAATCTATACATATTCCAGAGAGGTGAACAAGAAAAAGAAAAAACCGATTAAAAAAGAATACAACACAACATTAGTAACAGTATCAATAAAATGGAATATCAATCCACAGAAAGTATTAAAAAATCCAGTGGCAGGTCAACCAAGGAAGGCTTCCTGAAATAAATTTCAGGCGGCACCAGAAGCTACACAATGTTGGCACCCCCTGGCCTGACCTCCAGAGGTGGAGAGTTCCACAGAAATGGAACCATCACACTAAAGGCTCTAATCCAGGTGGGTTCCATGTGGCATCAACATAAACATGCAATCCAATGATCAAGCAGGTTGAGAAGGAAGATGCTCCATCAATTGCAGGAATGGCCCATCCCATGTATAAAATCGAACTGGAATCTTTCTTCCACCCTGAGGATGCCACAGCAAGAATCAGGAAGTGTAGGGCAGCTTGTGTGCGGCACACAAGCTTTCTCCTGCAAATCCTTGTTGCAGTCCCCAACATCGGCTCCCTGGGGTGGATGCCTCATTCTGCCAAATGTTAAGGCCAGCCTTGCCAAGTTGTTTAGGGTTTTATGCAGTAGTACCAAAGACTTAAACCTGGCCTAGGAGGAAACAGGTAGTCAGTGCAGTTCCCTCAGCAATGGAGTCGCATGCTGACAACGAGCAGCTCCTGACAACAGCAGCTGGAAGAACCTCAAGGAAGCCCACCTTGCACTAGGGCTTTGTAATAATCCACTACTGAGGTTACTAGCACTTGTTCCAGTGCAGTCAAACTATCCATTTCCAGGAAGACTGCAGCTCGAAAACCAGCTGAAACTAGAAAAAGGCACTCAGAGCTGCTCAGCATTCCAGTGACAATGATGAACCAAGGAGTTATGCCCTGCCCTTCGCAAGGGAGTGTCCCCACAACCAGAACAGCCTGCTTTCCAAACTCAGGACTGCTCACCAGGGGCTTCTGCCTTGCAGGATCCAGCACGTTATTTACTTATAATATCTACTTTTCCATGTTCCGGAACACTGAGGAAATAATGCCCAGAATTAGGGAGCCTCAAACACAGCAGAAAGCTGCAGGAATGCTGCCATGTGTTTGGGTACTTAGTACAAGCTGCTGTTTATGGGTCCAACTGGGACAAAGCATGACCGGTGTTGAACTTCCAGAATAAGAGCCCTGACAGGCTCTTGCAACAAAATGTCTGGTAGCAGCTTAAGGATTCATGTCCTGATTGTGGCACATGGTCTCATGGGTTCGAGACATGCCCCCCCCCCCCCGGTAGAAGTGCACTGAGCACTCCTGCAGGCAGTCACTGATTGTGGCCCTTGAGACGCCACTGCTGGATTGGTCTTGCGTCCACAAAATTGCAAGACCTGCCTCTGCCACTCTGGAGCATTCCTGCACTGAACTTTTAGAAGACTAATTGCAGTGCATCAAAAAATAAATGCGAAGGTGCTTTTGCTTGTTTGATCAGGCCTGCCTCACACAGAGCTTGGTTGGACTGGAGCAACAGTGGGCTCTTCCAGCCATGTGAGCAAGCTGTGTCTGCTTGTGTGGGGGAAGCTTTTCTAGGTCTGTGGGCAGACCATTTCTCCACTCTCATACAAACATTCACCCTTCCTACACATGTTAAGAGGCAGGGATGGATGAATCTTTCAATTTTGGCTTCTACAGCTTCTCATTTTTCTGACCTTAAGTTTGCTTTAGCCCAAACATTAAATAAGAATAATTTGCATGAAGCTTCACAAGCTTTTTTGTGCCCATTTCTCTTAATATTACATCTTTGTACATCTATTTTTTGCCTAAAACACACATTTTGCATTTTATGCAAAAGCATGTATAAACATATTTTTATTTTTATTTATTTATTCACATATTTATATTCTGCCTATGACTGCCAAACATCTTCCTAGGCAGCTTCCAAGTAATGACATATTAAAACCTATAAAAATAGTTAAAAGAATAAAACATCAATACAAAACAATAAAAAATGTAAAAAAGGTCACCAGCATTCATAAGGGCTAACTATTAATTTTTTTAAAAAAGGTATGTTTTCACCTGGCACCAAAAAGAAAATAAAGATGGTGCCAAGCGAATTTTTGTTAATAATCACATTTTTGTACACCTTTTTTGATGGAAAACTCCATTATAACATTTGGAATAGTGTGAATTTTGAAAAATAACTCAATTTCAGTTTACAGAGTCATTCAAAAATGCTAGATAAATTTACATTCAATTGTGAACTGAATGATACCCCCCACCACAAAAAAAAGGAAGAGTCTAGCCTAGACAATCCTGTATTGACTTACCTGTGAATAAACCCTACGGAACTCAGTGGGATTTCTCTGTGAACACTCATGTATAGGACTTTGCTGTCAATATTTTGAAACTTAAATACTTTGACTAAAAAGATGTTGCCTGATTAATTAGGCAGATTATTACCTTCTTGCAAGGAATCTACTTCTGCAATGGCAGAAGGTAATACTATCCTCGAAGTACCCTCTCCTATGTGTGAAAAAGGAGAAATGGTTCTTCTCAGGTAAAGTCTCCAGTGTGTTTTGCCTGAGTATTTTATGCCAAACATTTATATCTTAACTTTCAAAGAAAAGAAAATATCCAAAGCAGTCTATAAAATACCAAATATGCAAGTTTAGATCCAGACCTAGTCATATTTAGAGCAGACCCACTGACATCAATGGAACTTAATC